CCCCCCCCCCCCCAAATCGCACATAATACATAAAGGAAACTAAGTAGGCCTATAAGTTATACTTTATAATTTATAGTACATGTTTACTGCAAAATATAATAAAATTTAAAAATAAATAAATACCCACACAGAGCCTGGGCCACCTGTGAATATTCATGATTCATCCACTCGTTCACATGCATCAGAAGAAGAAATTCGCACTCGGAATGGCAGCAAGAATTGCCAGTGTAAGGGCATTAAGTGTACAAAACATTTTCCGCTTAGGCCTGTTCACTCGAGAAACTCATGCACCTGCATGATCATGAGTGGGATGAATTATTGAAACCTCATCTGACTTTTTTAATTTAGGTTTTTCAAGCAAACACCGATCGAGGTTCCATTGTAACCCACTCATTTAAACCTCCTATTCGTGCTCGGTACATTCGTGTGTTGCCAAAATCTTGGAGCAGTTATCCTACAATGAGGGTCGAGTTTTACGGTTGTCGCCACTAGTTTGCATGTAGTTAATACGTACATGCATGCATTGCTGTGTTACAGATTTGTGTACACCAGTAATAATTGCTACATATGTAATGCATGGTTACTTTTTCTTTGTAATATGTGTTGTTATTGTAATGATAATAAATTGTAACTTGTCCAACGGCATGCAAGTGTATATACTGAATTCGTTCATTAAGACTTATCAGAGGGTGGTAAAGGGTATATTCGTGAACCGTGGATTGTCAATATTTGTTTTCGTCAAAATCTGAAAGTGACTGAAACGACGGATTTTTGTGTCATGAAACGTGATTACATGCCTATCGTGAGCCGTGATTGAAGACTGAACGAATATAGTAAGAAGTGAAGAGCAATGCTTTCAATGCAATGATTTTACTGCATGCATGTATTTTTTTTAAATTTTTGCTAGATATACTGGTTGTTTTTAAAAAAGTCTTTCAATGTCGAGCTTTCAGTGGTGAAATTAGTTTGGAAAATGTAAAAATAGGATTAAGAACGTTATTAAGACTATTTAACAATTATTCGCCGAAGGCGAGGTGATTATCGGTGAATAAAAACCGAGACGAAGTCGAGGTTTTTATTCACGATAATCACCAAGCCTGAGGTGAATAATTGTTTTAGTATAATTTCATAGGTGATTATTTGGAAAAAAATAAAAAAATGCACATTTATTCATCTTTTAATTGACAAAACGGCTTCAGCCGCCATTTTGAAAATCGCTTAGGTGATTATCGCGTAATAATCACCTCAACGGTAACCAATCAGCGTGGAGAATTTTCAATAATCACCTATGTAATTATACTAATAACTATTCAAGATAAGAAATAAAATTTACAAAGTTAAAAACGTGTTTTTTAAAAACAATTTACAGCATTTTGATTTTAACTTTTTACAATATTTGAAGTTGTACCAATAGTAACGCTAGATAGCTCAACTAAAGAAATTCATGAATATGATAATTAAACTTGTCACGTCTCAGCCAATAGAAAGCGTTGAGTTGAACGAATGTGAACGGTACGTATAGTCGACTGTTCAGTTAATGTAATAATGCATGAGATTATATTCGTTCGTTCTTCTGCTTTGGTGCATGTTAACTACAGCTAGAGACCTTACGATGTAGGACGGCAACGCAACGACAGCGTGCCAGATTTAAAATAATTCAAATGAATGATTGTAAAGAAAGTTTGTAGACTATTATTGATCGTATCAATTTAATGTTTGGTTAGCTTGAAATAGTGACTTTATTCCTGAGAAAGTTCTGCTGTAGTACTGAGCTAATTTGCTGAGTATATAGCCCAGAGCAAACTAGGAAACATTGTTGCGGACACATTGTTTCCTACCAATGTTTCGCCATGTTTCCCAGAGTGGGCAAACACTAGGAAACATTAGTGAGAAACATAGGGAAACATCAAATGTTTCTGAATTTGATAGGAAATATTTTTCCTTCCCGGGAAGCAAATTATGTTTCCGCAACAATGTTTCCACGGGTGGGCAAACAGGAAAACATTTGAGGAAACATCGAGAATCACAAATATTTCCGCAACAATGCATGTATCCTAGTTTGCCCAGGGCTTATCACTTCAATCTCGCGTCTTGACATCCAGGCGTTTCGGCCAAGACGTAACAGACTGTAGTTTGCCGTTTACCGTGGACGACGTCTAAAACTCCCGTGGTATATATTAATTATTCATTTTCTTCTGAATAGCCGTCGTCGTCGCGTTGCCATCTCAGTAAGCTCTCTATTTCGTGCAAACAACCGGCTTGATCTTGCGTGCTGGTTATGTGAATAATTTTCACAATTCAAAAGATGGGGGATTTACTTCGTTTTGTCTAACATAAAATAACATACGCTGCGTATTACATATATCCCTCTTACAAACATTCTTCAGGCCTAAAATTTATACTTATGTCAAGCTTTTATGCACCTTTGCGTTCAGCAGAGTACTGAGGCATTCAAATTCTCACGATACGTTATTTCAATTTTGAGGGGTTTTTTTGGACACCCTGTTTAGTTCAACTGCTATATTTTGATCACAGCCCAGAATGCGTCAGAAGTATGTTCTACATTGACGTGCAACCAACCGGCTTGAACTTACGCGCTGACATGCGTGAATAATTTTGACAATTCAAAAGATGGCTGTAAAATGTCCCATAAGTCATAACATAATCAATAATTCAAATCGCACTTTGTATTAATGCTTAATTAATTGTTTACTACAATTTTTTTGGAAAAAAGGAATCGCAACTGCGTCATCGTTGCTATGGCGACAATGACACTTCAATATGGCCGATTAAGTTATTTAACTCGAAAATGAGGTCGGTTACCCCCATTTTTTATTTCATAACAACAATTCATTTAGTAGTTGGGATCATTGTTATAATTTTAAAACAATTCTGTCATGTTAGAAATTATAATATATTACATTTTCCGATCTGGAAAAATTTTGACATGACAGAATTTTTTTTAAATCACGAAAATGATCCAACATACTAAAATAAATCGTGCTATAGAATAATAAATGGGGACACCGACTTTATTTTCGAGTAAATTACTTTAAACCACAAATATCCGCCATATTGCAACGTCATTGCTGCCATAGCAACGGCTGTTAGGAGTAAATTTTTACAAGTTCCGAACTCCTTATATAGTTATTGTTTTATTCAAGTCGGATACTCTTTATTTTTCAACGAATAATTATTGTCCAGAAATTCATGTCCAAATCGGAAATTAAAGATTTATTAAAAAGCGTATGTATAGCCACGGACCTTAAAGGGCAATGTCACCGATTTTTGGGCAATTCCAACCCTCGCAAATTTTGCCCAAAACTGAAAAGGAATGAGTGTAAGCACAAAATAAAGCAATAACAGACACAAAAAACATGTACAGTAGTCTGGATGGGCAAGATTACGCCAGGATTGGGATGGATTGTAAATGGCATCTTGATTAATTGTTGGCAGACACTTTTTCAAGTTTAGGACAATTTTTGTGAAAATGTCATATTACATGTTGCGTGGAAGTTCAAAGTTGTTTAATATGACTCATATATCATAACTTAATCCATTTACAATGTTTATGTTTAACTTAATTTGTAGTTCAGTTTTTGAATAAACGATATTTTAGGTCAAAAATCGGTGACATTGCCCCTTTAATAGGGCAAAAATTTGCATTTTTCTTTTTACCCAGAAACGTTTCCTGCATGTTTATGTAGATATATTATACGACTGTTACCCTTCTCAAAATTCAGCACCATTCTCATACCATCTTTTGATTGTTTGATTGATTGCAAGAAAGATTATTTTGTAATAAAAACGATATTATGATAATAATAGATAATATTTGTAATTAAATTAAACAGGATTTTGTAGATGGAAATTTGAGTGCGAATTTTATACATTTATTTTATTTTATAGACCTAACGAGGAGCAGCCAGTGAACTCTATGTAAACTGGAAGGATAACTCCTATGATAAAGCCTATGATTCGCTGAAGCCAAAATAGTTTTTCTGAGTTATGAGCTGAAATACTTGTATCCCAAACGTTGGGCTATACCGGGTGTCCCAAAAAAAAAGTACTCCGGTTTGATTCGTAATAACTTCTAAACAAGTAAAGCTTTTAAAGAGAAATAACTTGCATCAAGTAGAGGAAGGACTAACTTAGATTTTGATATATTACAGTTGTATTTCACTTAAAACTTCACGGAGATATTAATGTTTAAAATCGGGAGCATATTTCTGGATGTATCTGAAATATGCAAAAAACGGCGTATCAAATATTAATCAAGATTTGCCAGATTGAAACATGCACTATTACCAGTAAATAAATGACACTTGACAAATTGTTTATTATGGAACAAAGTATTATTATCTACAAAATACAAGCAAGATTTATTTGTTCGAAATCCGCGTGTGTTCCTAGCACGAATACGTTTCCTTATATCATGAGACCACTGCATCGCGAACGATCATCATGGATATCGTTTGTAGTTCTGAATTAGGGCATGCTGTCACAATGGAATTGTGAAGCTCTTCTAACTTCTGCAAAGTTCTGAAATCTTGTTAAGAACACCCAAACTCTTTTGCCTTTTCTTAATCTTGTTAAGTTCAGAATAAACTGAGAATGAGACACGATCAAACCATACAACTCCATGAGACATAACAAGCAACTCCCCAGAGACATCCAACATTTTTGGAACAAAACGTAACAAAATAGTAGCGTTGATACTGTGATGTGTATTTGTGAAACGCAATATTATTTCCTTCTTTAAAGAATAATATTCATCCTGCTCTAACCGAGAAATAATCAACTCTGTTTTCAACCCATGAAAAACATAAAATAATTAAGCTATTTAAGAAAAATTTAAGCGCCTGGTTTGCACGCCACGAGGTCTTTCATGTACAGTACCTTTAAGTTTGTAAAGACCTATTAAATACTTGCATAATTTCGAACGTTCATATTTCAGGAAACAATGAGCTAAGACTTACATGCATGTTAAGATGTCTAAATCTATGCCATATACCTTACAAACAATAATGACAATTCGCTGAAATACAAGTTAGCCTGATATGTCATTAAGCAAACAAAGGCCGGAGTTAATATTTGATATGCCGATTTTCGCTAATTTTAGACACATCCCAAAATATGCTCCCGAATTTGAACATTAACATCTCCGTGAATTTTTAAGTAATATACAACTGTAATATACCAAAATCTAAGTTAGTCCTTCCTCTATTTAATGCAAGTTATTTCTGTTTGATAGCTTCACTTGTTTAGAAGTTATTATAAATCAAACTGGAGTACTTTTTTTTGGGACACCCGGTATATCAAACTGAAGCCATTCACAATTGCTATTCAGTGTGGAAATTTCAAGACTTCAGGGAAAATAAAAATATTTTAAAATATAAAAACAACTGCCATTCGGCCAAAAAATGACAAAGTGTTGGCAATTATATTTGTAGTTTTTAAATATTTCCCTTCTAGGTAAATTATTGAAATTTCTACACCAAATAGCGTTTTTCAATACCTTCAGCACAATGTTCAATGTTAGTATTTCTGCTCAAAACTCAGAAAAAATAAAATGCACTAATCCCCCCCCCCCCCCGAGTTATCGTTCCGAAATTCCCATCTACAAAATCCTTCAACAATTAGTGTTCAATCGAGTATCCTGTAATGTGTACAGCTAATTCAAAAAAGGTTGCCCTTCAAAAAGTCTCAAACCTTAAACATTGAGCGCGCAAGGTATGATGTGTATTGCTTATTTCGAGCCTTATAGATCGGGCATTAGCTTGGTGAACCAAACAGTCCTACATCGAAAGTGTTCATTACATATGCCCTGGCAAGGTTGCAAAGCAAATTTACCGAGTTTTATATGACTTTAAGAAGGGAGTTACTCACAGTGAGAAATAATGGTCACGCACGCGCATCGAGTGCTTGGACTTGGACGATAAAAATATGGCCGCCGTCACTCTTATATTGTGTATGGGAGTTAGCGAAAAAATCGCCCTAGCTCTTCACCTAGCGCTACAATTCAAAGTGTTCAATCTGTTTTAGTTTGTACTTGTTAAAACCTAATTTCCAAGATATAGTTTAGAATATCTGGACTTAACCGCAATTCGGTATCGCAATAATTAAATATGAAGCATTTTAGTTAGGAATTGTATTGTGAAACAGCACAAATACGTCAAGCAGACCTCAATAAATTCCATTTTCAGACGAAATATTGAATATATGCAAAGTGTTCAATCTGATATGGCTTGGCAAGACATTGCATTTCTAAGCCAAATTTAGACCAAGCCAGCACGATTTATTCCCCGTTCGGTATAGCCATGTATTTTAGGTGCATTTTCACGTATTTTAGCCTTTGAAATATGACGCCGCACGCAAAATTTGACCAAAATAACAGCAATAAGTTGGTGCTTCTTTTTCGAAAATCGAAATATGGCTGATGCCTCCATTTTGTATGCTCTATTAGAAGCCTCTACAGCAGAGGAGCTTTGCAACCATGCCTTATAGTTTCTAGGCAACAAAATATTATATATATTCGTAAACATTGTCGGCAAGACTTCAGATGCGTGTAAAAGTGAGTATATAATTTTTTGCGCAAAGGTCATATGGGTCAAACGTTTCGGATGTCTAGCGTTTCTGTTTGCCCCGACAAGCTAAAAATTCTTATGAACGGGGTTTAACCATCCAATAATTAATCCTAAGCGGTTAGAAAAGCGTTATAAGCCACTGGTGGAAACCAAGACATTTATGAACGCAGAATATATTCTGCCTCGTACCCAGGCGCTTTAAATAATTACAATACATGAAGTATTCAGGTAGGTAGGCGACACGTGAAGGGGCACTCTTCCCATCAGCCCCTTTGTCCATCTATCCCCACTACAATACTTCATGTAAACTCGTCCTATGCGCATCATTGTTTTTTTACATAGAGACGCCTGGGTACGAGGCAGGAATATATTATACTTAAGCTCCGCCCCCTAATGTCCACAATTTCTCGCCATGCGGTGATTTTTGAAGGACAACGTTAATTG